CCCATCATTCTTGCTAAAAGCAGGCTCAGGTTTCCATGTATATTTTCAAATCAAATTAGAAACACTGCTCCTGAGACCTCCTTCAGCTGACAGTGACGGATTGCACAACCTGATAAACAGGAGGCATTCCTGGAGCTGTGCTAACACCCGAGTCGCCACAAGTGCTTAGATAATAAAAAGAGCCATGTATTTAAATTAACAGAAAGCTTCTCCTCTTCCCCCAGGAAAGCAGCCCACTCCTGGGGAGCTGCAACTTCTCCAGCAGAAATGGGAATTGTGTCTGTGCAAGGAATTGTGTCTCAGTGGAATGGAAAGGGCAGTTTGCTCAGCACTAGGATATGAGACGAGGATTTGCATATAATTTATGGTAGATGAGAGTAAGTTATTATTGATATTCAGTAATAATGACAGTTTTCCTTTTTTCACAAAGCTGTTTATACAGGCAGATGAAGTCATATTACCTAAAATAGTTAACAGTTAATACAAAGTAAGGGAAATATGGTCAGTAGCTTAGCAGAATACCTTGTGAACATGCAGACAACCCATGTAGCAGCTACACATGAAGGCTAGAGGGGCAGTTCTCCAAGGAAGATTTAAGTTGTTCAGAAAACAGTAACTATGGGTACCCGAAGCAGAGGTGTACAGGTACTAGTTGCCTGTATGTCAAAGGAGTGGTGGAAAATGAAGAGACTTGCTGTGGCCTATCCTTAGGAGAGTGAAGTTCTGCCTGTGGTTACCCAAGGAAAATACTGGTTTCTTTGATACAATGCAGGAGATGGGGAAGGGAAAGTGTGTTCTCAGACTCTCAGCCTATTTTGCAGACCTTGGCATTTTCTTCCTATTTAATTTGGGCACAGACTAAACCCCTCTCTCTGCAGCATTTGTCGAGATGCTTTGATTCCACATTCAAATGTTCATGAGGCAGGTTCACGTCGAGGTTCGTCCCTTTGTTCTTGGAGGTTTGCCCAGCTGCTGCCTTTTACTGTCTCCTCTGCCTCTAAGAAAAACTGATGTTATCTCCCGAAGTGAAAACTACAGGTTCTATTTGTAACTGAGGATTTCCTGTGTGCCTTTCCCCAGCCCGTGCAGTGACGGCAAGAGACGGGGGCACATGGGCTGAGTGTCTCCAGAGAGCTTTGAGAACAGCCCCTGCACAGGAGCTGAAGAAATCCCCAGCCACCCGTGCCTTTGATCTCAGATAAAGGTCAACCTGTCTGGTAGAAAGTGTGATGGGAAATGCTACCACATCAGCCTTTGCTTTCTCTTCCTTACCCTGAAGTGATTCACTGTACGTGTCAGGGTATGCCTTCACCACAGCACCCATGGTGTTTGGCTCTTGGGAGCAGCTTTATTCATCTCATGCACCAGCATAAGCCGGGGCCAGCAAGATTTCATGAGAGCTGCTGAGAAACTTGTTATTACAGCAGTGTTCCATAGCCGTTGTTGGTTTGTTGGAGAGTTTTTTAATCATGGAATCATTTAGGCTGGGAAAAAACCTTTAAGGTCATTGAGTCCAGCCATCAACCCAGTAGACCAGTCCCTAAGTGCCACATCTACACATCTTTTAAATCTATCCAGGGTTGGTGACTCAGCCAGCGACCTGGGCAGCCTGTTCCAGTGCCTTCAGTGAAGAAATTTTTCCTGATCCCCAATCTAAATCTCCACTGGTGCAACTTGAGGCCATTTCCTCTTGCCTTGTAGTATATATAGGCCTAATGGTGTGTTAAAAAGTTAGTTATGCTGGTCTTGTCCCAACAAGCACTGAGAGTTTCTGAGACTGTTCAAGCACTGACAACTACAGAGTTCCACCTGACACAAAGCTGCTGACACACAAAGCTTTGGGGAGCTGCAGGTTCCAGTCAGTTCTCCTGACACCACCTCTGCAAGATCATCTCTGGTGAGGGAAGTACCTGACCTACACATGCTACAGGTAAGACTGGCACAACAATTTGGTTCATAATTTTGTTGTAAATGCTAATGGAGGGGGGTGTTTAAATTCCTCTGTAACCTGAAAAATGTTGTTGCAGCTGTGAAGATTGGTTAGGAAGTGACAAGTAACATGCATAAAGGGAAACACTTCCCCTGCTGAGTCTCCTCAAAGCCATGTTGGCTATGTGACTGAGGATGAGTGTGTCTTCCTTCTGGATTGGGATTGTGCTTTAGCAAGGGCTAAGAGATGCTGCTTAGGGTGCAACAGAACAATATTCCCAGGTGGGATGCACCATGGAAATAGTTGTTACTGATAGTGTGAGGATCACAGTTTATCCGGTGCATCTTTACAAAGGTCAGTTAAGTCATTTAGAGATAAAAGTTACTTCTAGGTGTATCAGGAAGAAAAACAAAAAGCTAAGGATGGATTGTGCTTTTGTTCTGTCCAGTGCACCTTCTGGCACTCAGGCTGCTGTAAGGGAGAAGTAGCATCTGACTGCAGAAGGTGGGAATTATCTCCAATACTCAATCCTCAAAGTGAAAGTGGAAACAGGGATTGGATCACTGCTCTTGGCCATCATTCAGTCCCCTGAGCCCCTTCTGGCAGGTTTTTCTGAAGGATTTACTTCAGGTACAGAAGGCTGGTCTCTATTGACTTGGTGTCAGCTGAGCCACCTCTAGATGATGGTTTGGAGATAGAAAATTATTTGGTTGCATCAGATTCCTGCCTGTGCATCAATGCTCCAATTTAGGCCATGCTAGGATGTAGCCATAGGTGTCAGTTCATTCTCCAGAATGTTGCTCTCCTTTTTCTAATCAGAACTTCTCACTGCTATAATTTCCAGGAATAATCTAGTGAGATGGACTTGTGTGAGGTGCAGGAATGTTTGCTTGAGCCTGTGGAGAGCCTTTGGATATTGCTGGAGGGTTTTCCCTTTTTTTACTGAAGTACTAATTCAAGTGCCAGGTGATAGTAAACACCTGCCAGTCCTCTTGGTTATTTGACTGACCCATTTAAGTCTGGTATTATGTTTCTAAAATCAAGCTTTTACACTTGGCATAGGTTTTTTAAGGTGGTACTGGCTTTAGAGATGTGAAAGGAGAGGCGTTGAGGGCTTTTCATGGTTTTGTCCTAGGAAAAATGTATATGGACTTCTGTGAGAACTGAGCCCTGCTACCTCCAAGGATGAACTGCACCACTCTGCAGGAGTAATGGTTTTTAAAAGTTTTGGTAGTAATTTTGGTTCTTCAGTTGGATTTTTTGTTCTTATCAGACATAAGCTTTTGTAACTCTTTATAAAGTTTTTAGATGGATTTCACTGAAAATGATTTTGTACTTTGTGCTCAAGGTGTGCCTGAAGATGCTTTTGGTGAACAACCACATTTTCTAAATCCATATTAATGGATAAATCAAATATTGATTTGGAATACTTTTTATTCCACACCAAGGATTTTTATGCTGTTGTTTGTCCTTTGAGCCTCTGTCACTGGAGAATGGTATTTATGGTTTGTCTGTATCTGCAATCTGTTAATTACAAACTCAGAAGTATTAGGAGTCACACTACCACTAGTACTATATTCTAGTACTCAGTACAGAACCTCTAATGCATGCACATTTTATTTCATAGAGAAACAGGTGGTTCAGGTAAAGGTTGTGCAGAATGATGAAAATTTCAAAAATGAAATGAAAGCTTAGTGAAGTTTAATGAAAAACAACTGTGCTGCTTCCACAAGTGTGAGCTGGGTGTGCAGACTGTCACTGAGTACCACCTTTGTGGTACAATCCTGTTTGTAGGGATTGTTTGCTTTTTGGATGTATGTTCCTGCTAAGCAGCTCCACATATCCTTAGCACATACTTCTTTTCTTTGGGGCAAAAGGTGGAAGATTTTTTTTTTTTTTTTTTTTTTTTTTTTTGTGAAAGAGATTGTTAGTATGGTTCAGATAAACTTAAGGCTGAGTGGTGTTTAGCCAAGTACTGGAAGTCTCAACTATTCCAATACCTTACATGTTGTTATGAGAATTTGGATGTGCTTCATATCACTTTCCCATGTTCTTTTGGTGGCCTAAATACTCTAAAATATTCTAAATATTGAAATACTCTACTCACTGAGAAAAGCCAAACCAAACCCCCAAAAATCTTATGTCAAAGGTAATATCTGGCCATAAAACTACTGACTTGGAAAGCATCCCTGTATCTCCTTGGCACCATGGCAGGGATGCAGTCGTGAGCTTTAGATGGGACCTTGACGAGGCAGGGCTGGAAAGGTGGGAGAGAGACAGCCAGGTCGATAACCCGTATCATCTCTGCTGCAGTGACAGCCGATGGGAAGAGCCTCTTCCTATCTCATGGCAGGATGGCAACAGGGAATGCTTTTCTCGGCTCCTCAGCTGCCTCTGCAATAGTCTGAAAGAAGCAGAAAATACCTTGTGAATATAAACGAAGGGCTGTTCCACCTGGCTTGAAGGGCGCAGAGGGCAAAACGCAGAGAGGAATCTCTCTGTAACTCTGTCAGAGGAGCGTGGCAGCACTTCAGCCCTTCAGCAGAGCCCTGTGCCCGCCGGTGCCGCGGCAGCTCCATGAGCTCTGCAGGCGGGGGCAGCGTGTGCGAGCCGGGCAGCTCCGAGCTCCGCCGGGCCGAGCCCCCGGGGCGCTCCCTCTGCCGGCGGGGCCTCGGGGCCGGGAGGAGCCGCGGCCGCGGGACAGCGCGGGGCCGGGGCCGGGGCCGGAGCGGGGCAGGTCCTCCCTCCTTCCCTCCTCAATTCCCTCCCTTCTTCCGTCCCCGGCGGCCCGCGGGAGCGGCGGTGCCCGCGCGGGAGCGGCTCCCGGCGGGAGGGCGGGGAATCCACGCCGGGATTTCGGAGGCACACTGACATCAGGGGGGCGCGGCCGGCGGCGGGCGGGGGCTGCGCGCTGAAAGGCGGCGAGGCGCGGCCCGAGTCACTCCGGAACGGCGGCGGGGCAGCGCGGAGCGGCTGCCGGCACTGCCCGGGCTGGATCCGCGCCGCCAATGTGCCGCGGGAGGCGGGCGCTCACCCCGGCCCTAGGTAAGCCCGGGCGGCGCTCGCCGCGCCGCACACCCACCTCCCGCCGGGTCAGGTGCGGGCGGGCGGCCGGGGCTCCCCGCGCCGCGCTGGGGGCGGCCGCGCTGCGAGGCGTGCGGGAGGTGCGGGCGAGCCGCGCTCGCTGCTCCGCGGGGCACCGGGCGGGAGAACCGGGACTCGGCTCCCCGGGCCGGCAGCGCTGAGTCGGGCGCGATTCGCTGCTCACGGAGAAGCTCCGGGTCGGTACTCGCCCGTCCCGCCCGACGCGGGGTCTCCGGCGCGTCGGAGCTCTGCGCGACCCTCTCGAGCCTGCGGAGACCTCGGTGCCAGACTGCGGCGTGCGGGGTCGCCTCTCCCCGCCGCGTCCTGCCCCTGCCCCGAGCCTGTCACTCGGCCCCCGGCAGCGACAGCCAGCACATGGCTGTGTGCGGCGAGCTCGCAGGGCCATTGCATTGCGCTGCCTCTGGCTTCGTTCGCAGTTCCCTGAGTTCTGCCTGGAGAGCCAGAGCCGCTTCTTGATCGCTTTTAAAAAGAAAATAAAAAATCAAAACGAAAAAGCAAAAACCCAACCAAATCTTTCGCACCAGAGGTTGTGGTTGCACTTTGCCAGACGGGATTTGCGGCAAGGACCATGCGGTGAAGCCGAGCGCCGGAGCGGGACCGCAGCCCTGCACTCTGCGATCGCAAAGGGAAATAACAAACAACCGGAGCAGGAGCCGCGCACCCGCCGCCTCTTCACAGAGACCTGCATCGCAACAGCCCCGCTGCCTGCCGCAGCCTGCAGCCGCCTGAGGCTCGATCCAGATACTCCGCTTTGCAGGAAGGGCTGGATTTGCTCCCCGTCGCCTCCGGACCCAGAGAGCCGTGGCCGAAGGAGAGCGCCGCTTCCACGGGCGGCGGGGGCCGCTGCATGCTGACCCCCGGGAGGGGGGAGCTGAGGTGGGCAGGAGAGCGCGGCTCTTCTCTGCTGGCCTAGTAGGACGTGGAGATCGGCGAGCGAGGGCTGCGCGGGGACGAGGAGCGCAGCCCGCCGGCCTTCCCCGCCCCGGGGGCCGGGAGAGCGAGGAGCCGAGGCCCCGCCGCCCCCCGCCCGCTGGATTTGCCGTTCCCGGTGGCTCCCTGCGCACCCGTAAGTTGGGACGCGCCGTGCACTCACTCGCGGGGCCGGCGCTGCCGCAGCGAGCAGGTGCCGCGGGGCGCTGCGGCGCCCGCCCGGTGAGGGGCGGCCCCGACCACCGTCCCCCTCCCGGAACGGAGGCACCGGGCTGCTGCGGGAAGGCTCACTGGGGACCGTGGCCGGCTGCGAACGAGCAGAACGTCAAAAACACCCCCCAAACGCTCCTCGCAGGTGGGGGCTGGAGGGGCTGAGGCGGAGGGTGCCGAGCCGCAGCGCGGGGAAACCGCGGGGCTGAGCTGCCGCTCTAAGCGCCAGGTGATCGGCTCTCCCGAGGCAGCGCCGGGCTAAGATCTGCCTTCCTCTGGGGAAGAGAGAGAGAAGGAGAGAAAGGAAGGGAAAAAAAAGAACCTATGTTTTCATTCATAACTTTTTTTTCTTCCCCTTTTCCCCTCCTCTTCCTTCCTCTCCGTCAGCGCCGTGATCCGCTCCGCTCCGCTCGGGGCGCAGAGGGCGCCGCGCCGCCGCCGCCCGCCCGGGGCTGCGGGGAGCGGGGCGGAGCAGGGCGGGACGGGGGGGCTGGCGGCGTGTCCGAGCGGGTGTGGAGAAGGGGAGGGAAGCGGGATCCCACCCCCGACGTGCGGGGAGGGAGCGCAGCCCCGGGTGCAGAACCGTGAGGGCTCTCGCCGCCTGCATCGTACGTTATTTTATTATTTTGTTTTACTAATTTTTATTTTATTGTCCGGGGGGAGAAGCAGTTTACTAGCGATCTGCGCGGGGGTGGAGGTGGCTGTTCAACTCTCGCCCCGGTCTGCAGCTGGGCTTGTCAGTCTGCGCCGCGTTGATGTTGCGCTTTCCCCCCAAAGATGGCACTGGACGTCTTTCGCATTTTCTTGGGATATTGTTTTTCATCCCCTAGGGAGCCCAGCTCCTGGCTGGTACAGCTGTAAATCTTTCCCTTTTCGCATTCATTCAGCCTTGGTCTGTTGTGGATTTGTATTCAGTGCTCATGAAGAAGGCTGCTTCTTGTGTGGGGTAGGAGGAAATTCTTTGCTGGAGGGTGGCGAGGCACTGGCACAGGAAAAGGCTGTGAATGCCCCATCCCTGGAAGTGTCCAAGGCCAGGTTGGATGGGGCTCTGAGCCACCTGGTCTAGTGGAAGGTGTCCCTGCCCATGGCCAGGAGCTTTGGGACTGCAGAATCTTTTAAGTCCCTTCCAACCAAGCTATTCTGTGATTCTGTTCTGTGAATTAGAAGTGAGAGTGTTTGGTTTTTCTGTTTAATCTGGTGACCACAAAGCCCACACAGGTGATCATGTTAGATGTAAAATGAAATCTTTTGACTACTGGATGAGGACAAAGACTTTGTGTCACGGCATAAGCTGTCACTTTCTGCTTATGGTGACTGCCTGCTAGAAGAAACATTTCCTCTTCTTGTTCTTTTGGTGCCTTTTTCTCTCTGGAGCGGGGAACAGCTCCATGCTGGCTGTGGTCTGGATACACAAGACACTTTCATAGCATTACTGGATGAGTTTTTGAAATGCTTGCTAGCACTTACCTTTCTCTGCTTTCAGGTAAACACTTATGGCGTCCCGAGGGGGAGTGAAAGGGGACTTTTCCTTTGGCTGACAGTAAAGAAAAGCAGCTTGTTGTCTTGGTTCCCTGCATAAATGTGGCACTTGGATACTCAGTTCCGATTTTGTGTAGGTGCAGAACTCACTGCAGTTTTCTCTGTGTTGCAACCTTCGCGTCTCTATCTAGGCAGGATGGAAATGTGTAACATCTCTACTATTCTCCTACTGCTTAAAAGATAGACAAACAGATGTTCTGTTTATTTGAGAAGCTTTTAGTCTGTCTTGTGAAAATGGATTCGTTCTCTGGGTTTTGAAGTTGTTGTTGAGGCATTTTTATCTGCTTTTAACATTCTCATGAATGCTCAGGTGCCTTTTGTTTGACACCTAGTTCATCTAAGCCTTTTCTACCCCACTTTTCTTTCACACTCTGGCCTGTGGTCAGGAAATATTTGAAAACAGGTTGTTTGCACCCTTGCTTTAATTTTATAAAGGAGCATATTAGATGTGTAGGCTGAGTTACTTTCTCACAGAAAATGTCTTGGCCACTTGACAGCACTTAGTTCAGGACTCTGTAATGCACATACGTCACTTTAGGAGGGAGACTTTCCAAATGCGCTAGGAAGCAAATCTGTGGAGCTTTCTGATGCTGCGGATTCAGGCAGAAGAGTGAGAACTGGGCTCGTTCCTTGCTCTGCCATACGAAACATGAACGTAGTGGTGTTCTTGGCTGTTTCCAGCTCAGTGTCAGGGGCATTCGGAATTGCTGTTGCTAGAGACAGATGTTGAGTTCAGTAGCAAGGGAGAGGCACTTCCCATGACTTGCCAAGAAAGCATACAAGTTAATACTGGATTTTTATTTTTTGAATTTTTTTTTTTTTAATGGCACGGGGTCTCCTTTGCATTCCTCATCTATGATGCCATACGCAGACTCTCCCCATTACTGGACTTTGGCCAGATCCTCAGCGCTGCTGTAATCCCCTGCTGAAAGTGATCAGTACCAGGTGGCTGCGGCAGTTTGGGCTTTGCCAGATCATTTCTGTTTTCAGAAAGTATCCGGTGCTTTATCCCTCCGCTGCCCTTGATCTCGTGTGTGTATATGTACACACGCAGTGTTTATTTACACCTTCTGTCTCCTTCCTTATTTCAGGATTTCAGATGCATGCCAGGTTCCCGCTGAATGCCAGCAGCAGAGATCACTACAGATGGAGCCCCAAAGTCAGCATGGCAGCGGCGGCTCCCTGGTGGTGATTCAGCAGCCCTCCCTGGACAGCCGGCAGCGCTTGGACTATGACAGGGACAGCCAGCCCACGACCATCTTGTCACTGGACCAGATCAAGGCCATCAGGGGCAGCAACGAATACACCGAGGGGCCGTCGGTGGTGAAAAAGTCGGGTCCGCGGACGGCGCCGAGGCAGGAGAAGCATGAGAGGACTCACGAGATTATACCGATTAATGTGAATAATAACTACGAGCACAGGCCCGGCCACGCGGGGCACGTGGCGCACCAGCATAACGCCAGGGCTCCCGTCCTGAGCCGATCCACCAGCACGGGCAGCGCGGCCAGCTCCGGCAGCAACAGCAGCGCCTCCTCGGAGCAAGGGCTGCTGGGGCGCTCGCCGCCCTCCCGGCCGGGCTCCGGCCACAGATCCGACCGGACGATCCGGGCGCAGCCCAAGCAGTCGGCGCTGATCGCGGACGATCTGAAGGGGCCTTTGAAAGAGGACTTGACGCAGCACAAGTTCATCTGCGAACAGTGCGGGAAGTGCAAGTGCGGGGAGTGCACGGCGCCGCGGGCCCTGCCCTCCTGCCTGGCCTGCAACCGGCAGTGCCTCTGCTCGGCCGAGAGCATGGTGGAGTACGGCACCTGCATGTGCCTGGTCAAAGGGATCTTCTACCACTGTTCCAACGACGATGAAGGGGACTCGTACGCGGATAATCCCTGCTCCTGCTCCCAGTCACACTGCTGTTCTAGGTACCTGTGCATGGGAGCCATGTCCTTGTTCCTGCCTTGCTTGCTCTGCTACCCTCCGGCCAAAGGATGCCTAAAACTCTGCCGGGGGTGCTACGACCGCGTCAATCGTCCGGGGTGCCGGTGCAAGAACTCCAACACGGTCTATTGTAAACTGGAGAGCTGCCCCTCCCGGGGTCAGGGCAAGCCCTCATGATTTTGGGAGGGAGGTTTACTTCCTCCAACTTCAGTTTTTCAGGTTGTAGCTGATTTTTTTTTCCCCCTCCCCCCATCTTTTATTCTTCCTCCTCTCCTCTCCCATTTTGGGAGGACTGTTGCTTTCCTTTCCTTTCTGTCTGCCCAGCATCAGACACATGCATTCATCCCCTTGCATCTTTGCTCTTCTCCTACTGACTTGGCTGAGTGTGGAGCGTTTCACGCAGTCGCTGCTGTTCTTTGGTAAGTGTGGACCTGGGTTCTGCACCTGCCGCTCCTTCAGGCAGGGTCTTTGAGTTTGTAACTGAACCACTCCTGAAAGAGACAGTGAGGGCTCACTGGGCTCTTGAAGCTTCTTGCTCTGTGAATATCTTCCCAAAGATTTTTTTGTTTGGTTGGTTTTTTTTTTTGGCTTTTTTTTTTTTTTTTGTTCTCAGCAAGTTATGGTTTTTTTCTCCTTAACCTCCTGAGTGCCAAGGGAGAATAACTTTCCTGGATTGTGAAATAACTTTTTGTGTGTGTTCTTTCTGGAGAGGGATGTAAAATAAAGGCTTCACCAAATGAAAGGCCTGACTCTTCTATAAGCAGCCTGCTTCTTTTTGCATCTTTTTTTTTTCCCTCTCTTTTTCTCTTAACTTTTGGAACATTCTCAGACCCGAGAATTGCCCTGCCTCCTGTTTTTTTGTTTTTGTTTTTTACATTTTCAGTGTAACTTCAGTTTTTGCTACCCTATGTAGATCTTCACATTGGAGACATTGTGGCTGCAACATACTCATTTGTCATTTGTTTCTTTTGCTGTTCAGTCTTTGAAGGATATTGCTTACTCCACCCTCCTAATCCAGTTTTTATAGTCTGTCAGTATCAGTTGATATTAAAGTTGGTGGTGTTCATATATCCAAACAGCCTTCAGGTGTCATTGAGTCACCTAAATTTTCTTGAATTCTTCAAGTCTCTTGTGATTCTTTGGCTTGGTGAGTTTAGCTCTGCTCTGTACTTTATAATTTTATTCTGTCCCTGTTTTATTGCCTTAGCCACAGATTGTGGTCCTTTTTTGTATATTTTATGTATAAAACACAAAGTTGAATCCCAACTATTTTTAAGACAAAAGTCTGTTAAAACTTTTTTATTGTAAAGAATATTTATTATGTGAATCTCTATTATTTTATGATATTTATTTCAAAAGACTTCAAAAATGTACTCATGTCTGAATATAACAAAATATCAATACTTAACGAAATAAGGATGACACGAAGAAAGTACATATGTTAACTATAATGCAGAAAATATATTAATTAATGAAAACGCCTCTGGAGTTCTTTTGTTACAGCGACAGGTTGTGAGCTACATGTGTGTATTGCTGGGCTGTTCCTCCTTCAGACTGTCAGGTGGCAAATAACCTCCTGTTAACACTTCAAAGCCACTAGTCTGTGCTCTAGTTTAGTTTACCTAGTTTTAAGTTTAAGCCAACTATATATCAAATAAGAGATGTTTAATACAATTGAATCTGTGTTGTGCTTAACAGTGCCAAGAAATGGAGGCTCTATTTATTTACCAAAGCATTTGGAAATACATTTGTGGAGGAGGAAACCACAACTTCCAAGTTGGTTTCTTATTTGGTGTTTGGTTTGGGTTTTTTTCTTTTTCTTTTTTTTTTTAAGGAATACCACATTAACATGCAAAGCCATTTAAAATTTTCTTATATAGAACTTCCTGGCTGGTTAAATTGTCCAGCAGCTGAAGAAATTAATCTCTCGACCTCAATTCTAAATAAAAAGTTTGGAGCCAGGATGAAAAATAGTGATTGTGTTGCTGTAGTTTGGTAGCTTTGAAATCTGGGAATGTGTGTGTGTGTTTGGGCCTATGTCTATGACTTATTTCGTTTTTTTCCCATTTTCCAATGTCAAGGGAATCTTCTGTCTTTAAATTAAAGGCTCTTAAGGGTGACCTAAGTGTCACAGCTACTTGTGGCCATTTAACACACATTCAACAGAAAAAGCTTTTCATTAAGAGTGAATGGGGAGACCTCATTCTTTTCCTTATATGGGTCAAGGTTACATCACAATTCTCCTGAACTTTTAAAGTTTTAAATGGATGCAATTTCACATGGTGTTCAGAGTAAGTGGTTCTAGAGAAACTCCACTTCAGAACAGGGCAATGACTTGACAAATGTGTCATATCTTGTTCTTTTTTGAAGTCCTGCTGCTTTGAATTACCATATTCAAGCTGCTCTGACTCCCAGCAAGGAGATGATTTGAATAAGCCCGCTTTCTTGTAGTTAATTCCATCCCAGCTGATGCAGTGTCATGGAATGGAGCTGACTGAGAAGCTACCAAAACAGCACAGATGACCCCTGAGAGGTACAAAGATAAATCATCATCTGAGTACATCTAGGAATGCTTTGCAGGGTGTTGGTGGTGCTGCTCCTCTGTGTGACAGAAGTGACGGGCTGGGGGGCAGCACTGGATGCACACGGATTCTGCTGTCCAAGATTTCCCGAGAGGAAGCAAAGGCAGGAGAGGAACGTTCCTGAGGAGCAGGGACTCGCACTCCAACGCTGTCACCGCGCCTCTCCAAGAGCGACAGCTGCAAATGGCCCCGCGGACACAATGGGGCCTTGTCTGGTGCTGGCCTGGGATGTCCACTGGTAACTGTGTGTGGACACCCGGGAACGCGGAGCCAACTGCCTCCACTGCTGGCTCACAGCCAGCTCCCTGCTCAGGGCCTTTGCTCCAAGGCTGCTGCTTGTGCATCCTCAAGGAAAACTGTCTCTTTTTTTTTTCAGACAGGTGACTGACTTATCTGGGGGTTTGTGTTGGTTCCTAGCAGAAGAGAAGAAATCCCAAAGGACCAACGTGTTCTCAATTCTTTAATGATTGTCTTCCATCAGGAGCTGTGTCGTGACACTGGTTCAGATCTCTTTTTTAAAACAACAGCTATGCTCTAGTTAGTCATACTAATGCTCCCTTTACTAACCAGATTTTGGGAATCACTTGAGGTTGCAGTGCCTCTGGAGAAAAAATTGACTTGGACCGACACAGCAAAGAAAACAGTTCCTTGCAGGTCTTACATGGTTTTCTAATTGCCAGGTAGAGCAGGCAGTGTTAGAAAAACGTGAGTAATGTGTTTTTCTCTTGGGTTAGATGCTGTGTGCTTTGTATTTAACATACAAATCTGTAAGCACAGTTTGTGGTAATTGGGAGTGGGGCTGCAGCTCAGCCTCATCCCTAACCAGCTACAGCTGTGGGATGCAGGTGAGCAGCATTGAAGGCAATGAGTGCCCAGGGGCACTGACCAACCAAAAAGGGAACAGAGGGCACACAGGTGCAGTGCATCAGCACCAGGGTATAAAGGGCTGGGCTGAAGCTGAAAGAGAATGGAGCAAGCTGAGGGCCGGATGAAGTGAAGCTGTGAAGCCTCCACAACCTGAGGAGACACAGGTTACTTTAAATATGCCCCAAGTGGTCACAGTCATGGTGTCTATTTGACTTTCCACAGTGGTATGGCCATCCAAGATGTTGTGTTCTGTTGGAAGTGGGTTTGCTGAGGGGATTTCCAGCAATTAGTGTACTGAAGTGCACATTTCAGTCATTCAACCCCAGATTTATCAGGGGGCTGTTTGAGGTTACTCCTCCATGTCTGCCGAGTACCAGACTGTCAGAGCCTATTGCAATGTAGCTCATAAAAATTACTTTTTCACCCTGATATTTCCAAGATCTTCTTTTGAGAAGCCAAGAGAACTCTGTGTAAAATGATGGTGTAATTAGGCAGTAAGTTCAGCTGACCTACTGACCTAATTGCATGGGTGGCTGATGGATTTGGCCGAGGCTGCCATCTGGTCCCAACAGCGAAAGCCCAGGTCCGAGTTGAAGGAAAAAGGAAAGTCTGGCAAGCTGGAATTCTTGCTTTAGTGCCTCGAAACGTGCGATAAGAGATGAGTTTAGGAAACAGCAGTTTAGCAATAAAAACAATGGCTAGATAAAGTTTCCATGTTCCATGCTGGAGGAATCTATTGCTCCAGGGGTGAGAATTTGCCCTCAGAGTTGCGTTGTTTCTCCAAAGACGGCTCCATTACACCAATGATGTGGTGGGTGAGGGTGTTAACCAAGGGGCAATAACACCTAACAAATGAAAAGTGCTTGCTCTTATTTATGGTTCCATATCATAAAGACAGGTGGGAGAGGATTAGCTCCTCTGTGATAAAGCAAATCTGTTAAGAGGGATTAAAGGGGCTAGATGAAGTGTTTTAATGGACTTATGTGAAGTAATAGATTTTTGTCCTGGAGGAATGTTCAGGACTCACTTGATACTTCTACATTTCTTGTTCTGCTAAAATTACCTTCAAGTTATAAGGAATCCTGATTAATTATTGGCCTTCTTCCAGCTGGAGCATTTGTGTCAGTCATGGTGGTGCTTCAAGAAAAACCTGGAATAAAATTCTGTTCTGCTGTTACCCAGCTGGATTTAGCAGCTTTACACAGCACATGGGGCTGCACAGGTCTTGTTCTGATGGCCTTTCATTTGCAGGGCAGTTTGCTTTTAGGGCAGCTCTTGATCATTTGTAGTTCTTCCCCGTGGTTGTTCCACCTTCCTCTGGCTGGTGGGAGGAATCAAGACATGGTTTCTTCCCTTGGCGTTAGTTGTTCCCCACCCATGTGGTAAGGAGCTGCTCCAAAAGGTCACTGAAAAGATCTGCTCGAAAACCTTGTGATCCCAGAGTGATATTTACAGCTTGGTTTATGTTTGTGATAAACAGATGCAGTGCAGTTGGTTTTCCCAGGAGCTGCCATTCCCACTCCTCCTGGTAAAGGTGTCTTGACATACTGCATAGTTACCAATAAACACAGATCCGGCCAAGTTTTCCTGCCAACCATATGTGGCTTGGCTCTTTAGTTTAAGTATGTATGGGTGAGACACTAGTCTTAATGAATAACTCTTGATTTAAGCATCAAAAAAGAGCCAAGAATTCACCTGGATTTTTCGATATTCCTGATACATGCATGGGGCAGTATTATAAGATAATATAAAATAAGTATTTGTGAGTGTGCTTCCAGGAGAAGTACATATTCCAAAATTAGCTTGAAAGTGCGGTAGCTCTTTATTTTGGAGCAGAGGAGCATCCATTTGGTCAGTCCTTGGAGAAAGGTGTGCCTGACAGCCATGGCTCTGGCCTTGTGAGCACGCCCTGTTTTGTGAACCTTTGTCTACACGTTGGTTGGGTGCCCCGACCTGAAAACAAACATCCTGCAGAACACGATGTCAGGAGGCACAAACAGCCTGACAGCAGCTCTGCCCCCAGGGGCTGAACCCCATTGTGTTTGTGCAAGAAGGAGCACAATGGGACATCCTGCCTGACCCCGCAGGGTCGCTGCCAGAGTATGAGTGGGTTTATTCCATGGAATATTTCTTCTGAATGGAGCTGATGGATTTACACCAGTGAATGAGCTGGCCAGGCGACAGTGCCTGCACTGCCTTAGGAATGCTCAGTGCTCATAAATGTTAGGATGTTCTTAGTTTCTGGGATAAAGTGACTGTGAGAAATAGCTGGAGCTCCCTAAACAGGCTGAAATTACCTAACTGATTAGCTACTTAATAGCTATTTTAAATGAAACCTCCTGTTTTCTGGCACATGCTTCAATTTCAAAACCACCTGAGAGTTCTTGCAGTGCTGTGAGGATTCCTCTCTCACACTCCAAGCAGGAGGAACGGATTAATTTACCTGGCCTGGTGAAGGTTCTCTCCAAAGCTTCATTTCTTCTGTGATGTCTGATCTGTTGGTTTTGGGTCTGTGTGCTTTATGACTAGCACACTTCCAGATGAAAATGAATAAACTAGCTGCCTGAAAGGCAGGGGGAAGTGCTGGAGCTTTCCTCTAACCCAGGTATTGGGAGATTGCACTTTTTATGCCCAAGTTTTATCTAAATTCAGTCTCATTTACCTGACCCCTTCTTTTTAGGGGTCAGGTAAATTCTCCTTTTTAGGCAGTAATTGTCCACTTGTTCATTTTTCTACATGGCATGCAAAGTTCTTCTGGATGAAATGCTATGACTACAGGAGCACCTGTGCTGTCACTGAGGCACTTTTTGATTTCATACATTTTTACATGTCCTGTATCTTGTCCAATTCAAGGTGAGGATAAACCTGGTTAGTCAGGGTGGGAAATACAGGGTAGTTGGATGTCATGAATTTTTGCTCTGAAATTCAACTCCAGGGAGGAACTTTGCCAAACTTTCGCTGTACCTGAGCTTGAATTTACTGATCTGCCAAGAATATGTGAGGAAATACTATTAGAGTTGAAAATGCAC